CGCGAAGTGTGGAAGTGCAGGTCACAGCTGCAAGACTGTACCAGGGAAGTGTGCCAGAAGTGTTACATCTTGACAACAACAACAACACAAAGCGGCAGCAATGGTCGCCGCATCAGAATCAGCAGCAAACCTACAGCAGCATGTAGGTAAGGACAACATCAACAGCAAGGAATCACGCTAGTGAAGAATGGACCAGGAAGCAATGAGAATTACGGGCCCTGTGAAACAGAGCGGGTTGCATCCTTTCGTGGAGGTGGGGATGTCAGGCATGATGACAAAGGTTGTGCTGGTGTGGCTTCTGCTGGTGCTGCCGAAAATTACCGCAATGATGATTGCAGTGGTAATGATGCGTACCGTCACAGTGGTCATATCAATCATGTCTTTCTCCCCCATTTGCTTATCCATGTAGCATCAGGCGAGCCGAGGACAAAGACCCAGCCAGGGGGCCCCCGTTAATACATGACTTGCCGGAATTTAGAAAAAAACACTCGATGCTATGAATGAAACACCATCAAAACACTGCATTGTAAATACTACCAAAACAAGCGGTGTAACGCATCGCAGGCAGTATGAGCACGCGGCGGAAGAAAAAATGGCGCAAACCAAAGCCGACTGCTCTTGTTATTGACATGGCTGTTCTTGCTATTCTTTCAGCTGCCAGTGGCCCTACTACCGCTACCCCTACCATCAACAGTTCTCGGGCGTATCAGACTTAGGAACGAAAGCACACTGAAGCCTGCTCCGAAGATCACTTGCGCACCAGAGACCTCGCAAATGTGCTTTACAGTGCTGCCGGACCGACCTGGCGTAGGGCACAGGTTTGTTGGTGCTGTTTTCGTGTTGCTGCCTGTGCCTTCTGACGAAACAGCAATGTGGCAGCGATATGCTATTGTGTTGCGCGGGTCGTGTGCCCTGCCTATGATGAGGCCCGCGGCTTCGGAGGGCACCAAGCAGCAGCATGGCATGGCATGAGCCGCCATGCCGCCATGAAACCGGAGCTAAAAGAAGACTTCCCTCGTCAACGACTGACGACGCAGGTGCTGGATTCAGGTTGCTGTTGTTCTCTGGCCCATGGGCCGGACACTTTACGTTTACACGCTTCTGCCTGACGGTTGGCAGGGTCTTCACGGCAAACACCGGCATCAACATCACAAGCAGCTTCGTTCCTGCACTGCAGCTACCAACCACGCTGAATGCCTTAAGAGCGGTCATGCAGGCACGTTTCTTACGGAGTTCCATGTCACCTCTTATCCTCTTTCATTGCTCTGTCTTAATTTACGTCGTTCGTTCAGTGTTCCTTCTTAGACGATGCCTGCAACAAGCCGAATTCGGCCCACCTGCTCTGACCGAAAACAGCAACTTGCAGCTCGAAAAAGTCTTTGCACGTCTGGCAGAGTGTTCCGACACCGAAATCAACACGCACATCAGCAAATTCTAGCCGGTGCAATCTTGAGTCAAGGGTGATTCTCGGTGTGGAGGTGGCTACATCCCTTTCAGCGGCAGATTGGTCTTTGAGTGATTTTGCTTGCCGTCTGAAGACACGCTTTGGTCCACAGCATGACAGTCTACTCAACCTCACATTCGGAGGCACCGTCTGCTAAGCATTCCCAGACTGCATGTCCTACGAGCTGGCAGGGATACTCTTCGCACATTCGGCGCATCAAGCTTGAGGCACACTTTCCCGCATAGTCTTCCCTGGCATGCCCGAGGCCAGTGGACAAACTTCCGGCCTAAAGTTGCAAGCCGCGACACACGGCTTGAGCTTTGGATCCAGGCCACTTCTTTTGTATATCTCTGTGCCCACATTAGTAGGAAACACGTGCCCGGACCAGCACAAAACTGAAGCGAAGATCGCACCACGGAAGGGCGATGAGGCGATGCAAGCGTTTGGTAAACGCAAAGCTGTCGCACATGCTCTTCTTTATGTAGCAACGACAAGAAATACACAAGCAATTCGTGTGTATGCATGACATGTCTCGGTTGTAGCGATTGTATCGGTGATGCAGGCCATCAAAAACAACAGCGAGCATGATTTTGCGATGTTGAGGAGTAATCAGGGTATTCATGCGCAGGGTCGTGGTCAAAGAATGTTGATAATCGATTGGGTTTGGTGCCGGCTCCCCTTTGGGGAGCGAGCGAAGTTGCATCAAACAATCCGCAGCCAACTTCATTTGAACGGAGCGCCTCTAGTGGCGTCCCGTTGTGTTTGGACCAGGTAGAACACCGATTCGGCAATCCAATTCCTACTTTCAGCTTTCCGGCGGCTAGAAGTCCCGAATGGTTGGCGTTCTTACACGTATCGGCGTATCGGCTTTAGAGTTCCACGTGCAGTCCAAAATAAAATAACTAGGCGGAACATAATCACAGCAGGCTCAGGATCAACACGTGCAGGTGCCACGGCCTTGTCGTCAAGCCAGCACAAGTGCCAACAGTACCAGCGGCCATGAGGGCTAGGATTGCAGCTCGTTGAGTCTGACAATTTGGGTGACTGCTCACTGGCAACCTGATGTTCCACAGAGCACAGACAGACAGGGCTGAAACCGGATCCATGGCCTTCCCCGAAATTTCCTCAATCATAAGCATCATCTGATAATGATAGTAATGGTGGTGATAATTATATAATGATGATAATGACAAGATATGACAAGCATCATCACCATGATCATACTATTCATGATGGTTCCGGGGATTCCCCGCCCTCGCTGCCTTCGGCTCACTCCCGCGGAGTGGGTGCAGCCTTTTCACAGGCCAACATTGGAATATTGGAATAAGGAAGGCAAGGTAGCCCAGAGATTTACACGAAGTTCTAGCTCCGTTGAAATCATTTTGCCACAGAACGTGTGTACAGCAATCCGAAATCTCATCAACGTCCGCCTTCTGCTGTAAACTCTGTCATGTGTCGGGCTATCTAACAAATCGACCAGTGTTTCACAGGCCTTCTAATCACGGTCCGATGCTAAGCGCAAGCAATAAGGAGTTGAACTGAATATCGTCTCTTCTTAGTGTATTGTCGACGAGCTCTGGGCAACATCTGTGCCATGTTTAGAATTCAAATTGCATACTCTTGGCCATGGCAGAATTGAGCTGAACATGTAGATCATGCAGCAAAGCTGAGCACTTCTAACCAGTGTATGTAAGATATCTTCGACATCGGGTCCGATTGACAAACTTCACCAGTTGGCTTAAAGGTGTCCTCGGTTTGATGGGCAGAGCTGCCTTTGCAAACTTGTCTTCGTACTTCATGGAAGACAATCAAAGCATCAACAGCCCTTCAAGATGTGCAGACTGTCCAGTCCCACAAATTAAGAAGTTTTACATCTCATGCCGAATTTAAACGCTACCCATACCAGTAGCAACGAATGCTTGAAGCAAAGGCTCGGTTCAACTGACCATGCGCTGAAGATTGAAACAGAAACAGCAAGACGCAGGCCCCTTCTGTCGGTCATAGAGAGAACACACCACTGAGCTGTCTCACTTTTGCAATTTCCTCCTACTGTCTCTGTAGAGGAGGAGGATAGCAAATGGACGTTGCGGCCCGGGCATCCCAGCCCATCCCTGTTGCATTCCCTCGAAACTACATGTTTACTGCGTCTACTAATTAATTACTTGCCATGATTGCATCGGTTCTTGCTGGTTCTGACTCAACAAGCTCGAACACGAAAGTGCAAGGTAAGACAGCTACGCTTCATGCCGGTGTGGTAGGGCTTGGCCCATCCCAGCCCTGAACCTGCCCGTCCCATCCAGCACCTTCACGGACGGCGCCTGCCCTTGTACTGCCGGTGGACGAGCCTTAGGGAGAAGGGGGCATGCTTTCCCGGAAGTTGTGAACATGGAATTGCGTCTTGCAGTAGAGGAGAGCTTTTCAGCATGTCGCTCCAGGCTGACGGTGAAAGGCCATGGCACTTTGAGGCCGCAGAGCCGCAGCTACCGATAGACCTTCTTTGAACCCGCTTGTGGTCGAGATGCACCTGCTAAAGTCCAGTTGCGCGTGGAGTCCTGACAAAGCCATCTTCGACGTAGCGGTGTCGCTTTGCCAAGCAGACGGCAGCTTATCGACTGCATAGATCCAGGAACGCCCTCCGCCACAAGGGATACGTCATGGTACGTCGTTGACCCGGTGACCCCAGTGGGGCTGACGAATACCACTGCGGCTACGCTGTCCCTAACTAGTGTCCGAGCTCGATCCCGCTAGCTCCTGCTGGTGCAGAGCGGTTGTGTTGACAGGCCTTGCACATAGCATAGCTAGAAGCAACACGGCCGTGGACAAACCAAGCTGAAACATCGCCAGCCTTAGTGCGCATCATGCTTGATTGACTTTCCCGGGCGGTTCAAATCCTTTCAGCTATGCTACAGAGGGGGAGGATGCTTCGGCACGAAAACAAGTCAAGGAGCAGTCTGAATACAGATTCGGTCGTCTTTCCCAGCACGTTGAACAGCACAAGTGAAATGAGGCCGTTCAGCAAAGCCCCAGCTGCCGAATTCAGCAAGAAAACAGCAGAAACCACTTGCCCACACACAGCATCTCCGTGCTGACCACGAAGGCCACGGTCGGCGCTCGCGCAATCCACGGCACGGCGCGTCTCGCCGTAGAAGAGGGTGTTCGCAAAGCTCCAGGACATGAAGAATACAGTGAAGGAAGCGCCAAGCGACAACTCCACAGCGGATGTCCAAGCCATGATTGCAGCCATGCTCGCCAGGAGGAAGCTCTGCAACAAGAACGTGACGAGAGGCATCCGCGAGCAAATCCTTTCCTCAATGGAACGAAATATCAACTGAGGTACTGCAGTATATTTAAGTCCTGTGCGCCTCCCATGCTTCGGTCGAAGCATCTCGAAGTAACCGGGTCCTAGGTTCTACGTAGCTGGACGTAGTGAAGAGTCGACTTCTTGGCATGTGAGGAGGGAGGAGCATGCCGCGCCAGCAAGCAGCCCCACAGCAAAGATCGTGCCATTGTGGTCCTTGGAGGAAACGGGGCTAACACTAACTAAGCAACGCAGCTGCAAATACTTGGCTGCTGTAAACAGCAACAAAATCCCTGACGGGCATCTGGGCCGCGAATATTATCAGCGTAGAGAGACGACTCGTAGCCGTAAACCACCTGGTACAGTGGATAGCTGCAGGTCCACCACAGGGCGGAAAGCCAAAAGTTTCGACTTCTGTAGGCAGAAACCAGGAGCATCCTGGCTTCGGGCAACTCCTCACCCGGCTCAGGCTCAGGGTCGTGCAATGTTAAAGCAATCAGCAAAGCAAAGAGAACGGAGAGAGCTGAGATCCAAAACAAGCCGACCAAGCCGATACTCGTTGCTTCTAGAAGCCAGTCGCCGCAGAAACCCGCCAGTGTGTGTGAGACCAAATAAGATGCTTGGCAAACAGCTGTCAGGCGCTGGCTCTCTCCCGGCAGCACCTTCAAGCAGTATGCATAGAATGCCAGTTCACCAACCAGGCCCACCGCAAAGGCCATTTGCATCAACTGCATCGAGAACAAGGAGTCTCCTGATGAGGCCGTTAAGTCAGGGAACGTGAGTTCGGCGTCTGGCAGCCAACGCGCAAGCTTCAAGTCAAGCAGCCGAAAAGAAGCAAGACTCGGGTCGCAAGACGGCCGCTGCAGCCCAACAGGATCAGAGCCTGCCAAACAGGCAATGCTCAATTCCGCATCTCAAGCAATACACGGAAACACGGATCTGTTTGATCGATACTTGATCAATACTGCACTCCGGCGTTCTGCCTTGTCTGAGAGGCGCGATGTAGCCTTCCTCAGGCTTATCAACTTCGCCGCTGCCTCAGACAAGTGGACACGCTACACTCATCCCTTCACGGACCCGTTTACTGGCGTCATTCAAGACGTGACGAATCATTGCAAAAGAATGCCAAGTGCGTCGTCCAGCGGCACAGAAACAAACGACGATGAGCGATCCATAAGTGTAGACTGTGTAGACCTCACGCTGCGAGCTCTCATTCTTCATGCGACGCATATCCGAGACGCTTTACACAGACACACAGAAGGCACGGCTATGATTCTATGGTGTTGTTCAGTCTCCGTGTGGAGGAGGGCTTTTAGAACTTGGCGGCAGGAAGTCGTCCCTCGGCTTCATGACTTTGGGCTTTTACTTTTGTGGCTCGCCTCCTCTCCGTCAAGCATAGGCATTAACTGAGGAGGAGGTTGAGATGCTTGTGTTCTTGTGCAAGTGTTGGGGTAAGTGTAATGCAATGCTTGTCTTTCATTTCGTTGTGTGGTGTAAAAACATGCATGCCGTGACAGACCGTTCGATACCAAACGAGTCCGTCGTCCAACAAATTCAAAAACTTCAATCCTAGATTCGGAAATCCCTTCGATCTCATGGCGGCTGTGGTTTGTTGTATCGGGCAGACAACAACTTTCCGGCTAGAAGAAGTTTACGTTGAAAGATGGACGAGGGATGCCAGCCGACATAGGCCACCAGAAAAAATACAAAAAAAAACACAATTAAACACCTCGTACGTCAGACTCGATTCGAGAAGCGCTTCGGCTCCATCCTATACAGCTTTCCTACTTCCAGGTCAGCAGGAACTTTCCAATGAGGTGTTTCGTGTCGCTGGAGGCAAGGAATAATCTGCTTCATCAAGATTGTCGCCTTGGTCATACTCCTGTACATCATGATCTGCTAGTGAGGTCCTCTTGCTCAGGCCTTTGATGACGTCGCCAGAAGGAGAGGTTACTTTACAATAAGCCCATAAGTCCGCCAAATACACTGTCGAAAGTTGGGCTTCTGTCTCCTGTGACCCTAGATTGGTCGAAGCCTATTCTCGATGTTGCCGCTTGCCTACGTTATGATAGAAGCAGGTGCCAGCAAAAAACTAGAAGCAGAAAGACTGTTGCCGTGGCGTCCGCTCTAGGAGTACACATTGCGGTCAAAGGAAGACATGATAAGAGAAGCGAGAATACTGACGAACATAGGATATCAACCTTAACGGGCCTCTGCATCACGTTGGTGCTTCGTGAGGTGCTTCACGTCCTTGGGGGGGGGCTGGATCCGGCTGGATCCGGCCCGTGCACTGCACAGGAGCAAGTCTGAGAGATCACGGCATTGCTATCCTTATGCATCTTCTTACTGGTACTGTTCCTTCTTTTGTCTTTCGGCATTCTAGGCAGTGCCAGTCCTGCAGGTATGCCGACAGGTGAGGCTCCGAGGGCTTGAAGCTCAGAAAGAAAATGAAGGCTGCGCACTGCGCAAAGACCGCCAAGCGCGCCATCGAGGAGATGCAACCGACCACGGGCTTGACATTTCAGTTCCCTTTGCTGGTCTTGCTGTTCTGACTGGCCTTCATGTAACCTCCGTCCTGTCTACAGCACTACAACTTATCCTTTCCTCGCTGTGCACTGTTTGTAAGAGTCTCAAGCTGCCTGAACAGGAGACGCGCATACACGGGCTCGAGACAATGGTGGTTAGTCTCTCAATGGACTGATCTCACGAGACTCTGCTGGGACCTGGAGAGTTTCCAGCCCACTGGAGCTATTGGCACTACTTCTGTTCTCACTGATGGATGATGATGATGGTGGGGCCCTAGCACATGCGCAACATCTTCGAAGATCAGCCCTCTTTGTCTGCAAGACGAGTCTCGCCCCATGCCAGTCTTTACACTTTACACTTAGTCCAAGCTGTAGTCGTTGACGACAGCATGGAAGAAAAATGCATCTGAATGCAAACACCATAAAAGATGATATAAGCTATTTACAAAGTCTCGGCAGACAGCTTAGCTGACGACCATTGACGAGCCTCACAATTACCGATTTTCGATGGAAATCCCCATGCAAGACTTTCTCACATCAAGGCAGTTACTCGCAAGCCGCAAGCATTGTGCGCTTCGGCTTCTAAGTGTCAAGTAAAGTTTGTCGCCATCTTTGCTTCTATGCATGTGATCCTGGGCCCTGGCCTCTTGCTCACCAAGTTCTGCTGTGCTGGAGCAGCCTTTGCAGGGGACCATGGCGGGCTTGAACGGGGTCGCTGCTCGCCCTGAGCCGCACTCTTGGCACGAGCTGCTGCGTTCTGTCGTTCCCTTGGTGGCAGCTGGCTGACTGCAGCACGGACTGCAGCTGCAGCATCCAGAATGTTTGCTGGCACTCGCACATCGTTCACGTGCGTTAGGATCTCCCCAGGATGCACACTGGCACCCGCAGCAAAGTCCACGCCAACATGAGTCACGGTCAGGGGGGCTGTCTCGGAGAAACGAAGACATAAGGGCCTTGAGTGGAAGTAGACTGAGTGTGGCAGGGCGTGTTGCCGACTGAAAGTCAGCTTTACTCTTTTCGCTGAGGCGGGCTGCACGCCATCCGCCATGCTATCCGATGACATCGGCAGAGATGCTTGAGTCACAGAAGTTTCCGAGTGCCTTTCCGCTGTTGAGTCAGCATTGTGCAGTTGTCCAGGTGAATGGGAGATGCACTCCTCAGCCTCCTGAGCAGCAGCAGTAAACCAGTACAGCTCCAGGCCCGGGCTCTGGTTGGATCTGTCAACTTGAATGGATCCGGCTTCATACTTGGAGCTGTCGCCCAGCTGGCAGCAGAAAAATATCATGGCAGGATAATGCAAAAGAACCGGCTGGACAGCTACCTCTAACCCTGCTTCCCGGATCGGCGATTCTGCCTTCAGTTGACATGTCCTATCAATCGAACAAGACCACTCTACATCCACACTGTCGTCGAATTTATGCCAGGCTGACGTTAAGTCCACCGACATGACCACAGAACTCTTCGGCGTGACTCAACATCCTTGACGCTGCTCGGGGCCCTGCTATACGCTTTGCCGGAGGCTTCGGAGCCTCTGCGCCTGGTGCGGTGCCGGCCTGGCCGAGAAGATATAGTGCTATGTTAGCACCTAGCGATCGACCCGGGTGGAAGTCAGAAAGCAGGTGTACTTCCGCCGGCGAGTGCGACTAGCTGTCTGAAACACCCCCAAAGAGTCTTCGCGGGGCATCATTTCATTGAGCCAAATCTGAAATCCCGGTACGGCACAGAGTCTGTCGGGGAGGTCGGTTTGACGCATGTCGAGCGAGAGTGGAACAAATAGTCGCAACTGTTGCAACTATTTCTTCGGCAGCGCTAGACCCGAGGAGAAATATGTTGTGTGTGCTTGTTGTTGTTTGTGCTTGTGCCATGTGTATTGTTGAGGCGTGCGTTGGGTTCCGATTGCTTGGTGGTTTGCTCGTGCAGCACCGCCAACGCAATCCGATGTGCCATCAGATGCCAGTATTGTGCCTTTCTTCGTAGTGAGGGCGGCATTGTGTGGGACAATGTCCTGGTGCGTGAAAATCAAATTCAAATCTGTGCGTGGGCCATCGTGGGCCTTTTGACGAAGCTTGCCAGATAGGTTTGCACAGTGTTCGGAAGGGTTTGGTGGTGACTTGGGCTTCTTACTTGTTAAAATTACGAACTGGGAAAGAAGCCTATGCCTTGGGGCCATACAGCTAAAGTTCTGTACTACATGACTTGTGAAGCCAAGGCCCTTCGGTCTAAACTTGTACAATCGCCCCGTCCTTCGGGGGACGGGAGATGGTGAGACCTTCCACCCCCAACCTTGCAACATAAACAAATCTCAGGGCTGAGTCAGAAATTGTCTGCGATCTAGGTCCAATCTAGGTCGGAAGTTGTGTCCGACACTTTCAAACTCACGGGGGAGGTCAAGTAGGACATAGGACATCAAACCTGGAGGCTCTAACCGCTGGCCTCATGTCATCGCAGCTGCAACATGCAGAACGTACGGTTTCCTCCACGGCTCACCCCTTCGCCCAGAACACCCGGGAGGGGGAGGGGGAACGGGTCGCGCGTGTGGTGGGGTGTACGGAGGGGTTGGCTGGGTTGGGTGGGGTGGGCCCACGCGTTTCAGGGGTTCAGGCAGAAGCCTGGGGCGATCTCAGACGTGCGAAGCCCTTCGCAACAAACCTTGCGCAAACCTCCGCATGTCTGCCCCCGAACCGCGCGAAGCCGCCCCCGGCCCCTAAAAATCAACGCATGGTCCTTTGCAGGAGCCGTCTCCACGAACACAAGCATGAGCAAAGATACTTCGGTGACATGCGAACCTAGCACGAGCAGGAGCAAGCATCACGAAGTAGTTAAAACGGCTTCAGGAACCCACCTCTATTACAGTGAGACCTGGTTCCATGCCCACAGACACTCTCGGACACACCCACATGAAAACAAACAGTGACACAACACAACATCAAGACAAACACCGTCACAGTGACAGAAGCGCTGAAGCCCCCGGCATCTGGTACCATGCCAGGAAAGGCCATTGGGTGAGCAAATCCTGAGTAAGCCGAGTATGCTTACCAGCTTCAACACCTCGCTCTACCCGACCCAAATCAAATCACAAAGACTGCTCGCAATGGCTTTCAGTGTGGCAAACCGACAGAACCGACACAGTGCTTCGCTTTCTCAGGATTTCCTCCTGTTATGGGCTCCGGGCCACCTGCAGCCGGGTTGAAAGGTAGGCCAGGCAAGCCTTAGTTCGGGTCGAAAGCAGATAAGATGCCGCCAGCTACAAACCCGACAGCACTAATGCCAAGCGTGAACGGAACTTCACTGTGTGACCTACCTTCGTCGGCATCTCGCCACTATGCTGCCTGGAAACCTTGCGGCATTGTGATGCCGGTGTTGGGGTCCTGAAGCATCAGACTCACCCGCTGAAGCCAACCCATGCATGACATGAGCAAATGAACTGTCCACAAGCATTCGTGAGGATCGGAGCAATTCTGCAAACTCGCGCCTTCATGGGCATCGGGAAGGGCATGGGCTGCTGCGCTCTCCTCTCAACCACCTCATGGTAGAGATGTGCGCGTGTGTGGTCGAACAGGTTCGGCTTTCCGACCAAGTCTAGAAGGAGCGACAGAACGGCACATCGCAGATCCATCTTTCTAAATTGATTGCGCCTGTTTCGCGCGAAAGCAGCAGCTAGCAAGACCACGGAAACGAAAGAACCATGCACTCTTTACACCGAAAGACAATCGTCGAACCCTTTACCAGCCTCTTTGAGGAGCTCTCTCTCATGGCGCACGCGGTCGAGCCTTACCACAATCATGAAAGCAGCTGGGTCTTTCCGAAAACACGTGGCCGAGACGATTCCTCACCCGCCTAGCTGACTCTGGGAACAACTCTTGAGCTGATATCCCAGCTATATATTGTAAAAGTCAAGGCAAACGACAGGAGTTTTTCGATATGAGTGGGGGAGCATGGGCAGCGATGAACTCGATAGCACCAAGACATTCAGTAGAGGAAGCAACCGACCACGACGGAACCTAACCCAACCCCAGCGCGATCCCAACACTGAAAGTCTGAAGATATCCATGTACATTGGAGCCATGGGCAAGGCAATAAAAGGCAATTTGGCCTTCGTGGCTTTGATGATGGTCACAGGTTGTAGTACAATCAACAATCGCAGTACCAATAGTAATAATAAGTAGTAATAACTGTGTGTGTAACAATAATAATAATAATAGATAATAACAGTGATAACAAAAATAGACTAGCAACAACAACAGAATCACTGAGGAAGAGGCTGGCTCTCGATGTGCTGTTGAGAGATTTGTAGCAAGCGAAGCACAGAGTGGTCTGCCTGGTGGGGATGCTAGCGAGAGATTTTAGGAGCCAGGCAACCTCGCACAAGTCTCTAATTCGATTACATTTTTGTGAAATTATATTCTACTTTGCTGCATTATTTTGCTCTTTAAAAACGTAAATGAATCTGATGGATGAGCGCATCAGCTTGAGCCACTTTGCCAAGCCTTCTTTCCCACCAGGTCCAAGATGCTGCGGTACTTCCTTGGCGAAGTGGGAGTTTCAGAAGGGCGGGGCACCTCATTCAGGGGATCTTATCCTAATAAGGTTCCTGTCATTTAGGGTTCTTTTCTAGGGTCCCCTCTAGTCTGAGACTCCCAGATCTTAGACCACCAGGAGCTCTCTTCCAGCATCTCCCTGATGAGCCACGAAGCTTCGGCTCCTAAAGTTTAGGTCCTAAAGCTTCTGAGAGGTGGGGGAAGTGATACTGGAAGAATGGGGCCACCTGGTTGGGGTCAGATCACCTGAGCTTGCCTTCAAGACTCTGCGAATAAAGCTGTCGCCATGTCTTCTCGACTCGAAGCGTGAGGTTCTGCGCGCAGTCCTCGACAGCCGCTCCGTGCTACGGCCTCTAGTGTGCCCCTCTCATTGCACAAGCTGACTGCAGCTTTTATGCTCTAATTTTATTTGCTCTCAGACACTCAGACTTTCAGATCGTCGTCCCGTGCACGCGCAAGTTAGTAAGTTGCGTAGCTTATAAGAGAATGGATGTGTGTACGCTCACAGACCTGCATGGTCGGCAGGTATGGGCGGCTTGGGGCTGAAATCTTGTTTTAGGGGATTCATATCACCTCGACGTCCAATAGAGTAGCGACAAAAGTCACAGAGATGCTGTTTGGTGTCACGATTCGCGTTAATGGAGCCACACCACACGAGAAGGATTTCACCAGCACTCGCAGGGAGGGGCACGAGAACGTACCCAAAGCACTCACGGCCTGAGGCCAGATTGAACGGACTCAAACCCAATTCAAAATTCCGTTGCGGGCGACAATTTCTTGAAAAGCGCGAATCAAAGGCTGTCGGCCTGGAGGTACCTCATGCGCAACCCATTGTTAACTGTTAACGTCTGCCATCGCTTCGACACCTCTAGGCTTGTCCAAGAAGACAAAGACCCGCAAGCTAGTCCCCATGCTTGGCTCAAGCAAGGTCCTCCCAGTTCAGCATCTCAACGTCGACATCAAGCTCTTCCTCTATGCCGGGGCACACTTGTATTTCAATGCCGAGACACCAGTGAAAGCAAGGAGAGAGTCTCAGTGGCCTCGAACTCGTGACTTTGCTACACGGAGTCCATGGAGTGATAGCAGCCAACCAAAACTGAGGTCTCCGAAGTATGTCAGAAGCAAGGTTGTGTGGCAATCCCAGGGTGTAGGGCAGTGTAGGGTTGAACTCTGGCATCCTCAAACGATCCAATCGCGAACGAGTACGCCCAGTATGCCCTATGAAAGGCGTCACGAACAGCCACCTGCACTGATACAAGTTGCCTCAGTGCCGTCGTTCATCCGCGCCCCAGGGAACACTCCCACGACTTGGCACAACTTTACAACCTTGCAATGAGGCGGCACTCGGGTTGCACAAATTGTGCAGTTGCCATGGGTTGCGGCTTGTGGCCTTTTCTGACTCTAATCTAATGACTCAGATGACTCTCGTCTGACTGCTGATGCCATCGATCGGACAGACCTGCTCTGCCACAGCACGCGCTTTTCCAAATGCGTTCTGGCAGGTTCCAGATCTGTTTTTGGCTAAATTGCAGTTCAAAGCACTGCATCACACAATCACCATCTGCTCACATGGAGCTGGCAGCTCTTGCTTGTCGTCAGAATGCGCATTTGATTGGCTCTACCACTAAACCGTAGCCGGCGCTTGCATGATCTTGGGCGGTTCGGGGCAAGAGTCTAGAGTCTACATACATGACTTCTTACGAAATCAGCCTGCAGCATACATGCACAAGTAACGGTATCTCGCACTCAAGAGTTGCCAAGAAGTCCACTGCTATGCAGGCAGGTTCGCCTGCAAGGATGCAATGGGCTTCCTTCGGCCTACGCTATTCGCCGAAACCATGCAGGCCAGCTGACCGACAGCACCAGATGTTCCGGCGCGAACAGAACGGAAGATTTGGCGAGTGAAACACAGCTAATGGCCAACGCATCAGCTTTTGATAGATCCATGAAGGCCAATCAATGCTTCGGACCTTGGTCTCACGTGTGCAGTCTGTTCGGGCTTTTGGCGCTTAAACAGGCAAGGTTCCAGCATCGGGTCTGGCTCTCATTCATTGGACCGGACAAGCTCTATAGTAATAACTTTAATACCATCCAAAGTTACGTCTGCCCTTCTTCGTCTCGTGCGCAACGTCACCCTCATCCTGATGGTCCACATCTAGTTGCTGCTTTCAGATGCTCTTTGTCGTGAGTATGCGGCTGCACAAGAAGCATTTCAACTTTCAACCACCCGAACTTCCTCCTGTTCTCCCCGTCCTCGTCGCCAAGAGCTGGTAACGACTGGACAAACTTGTGCAAAAGTGTCGAATCGCTTCTCACGTCCTCTCAGGCATTGCATGTTAGATCTTGACACATACTTGAGTGCTACCTGGCAGCCTGGCAAGGCTTGCATTGAAACATACATGCACTGTCGGCTCTACTTGTGACTCTGCATCATCCCGACAGTGGCTCTACTACAGTCTGCGACTGGCAAAGACGCCAGGCTTCGCAGCATGTCGAGCTGAAACGAAGGGCGAAAGTTGCTGATGGACACTTTGGGATGTCGTCTGTGCAAGTACCTATCCGTGCACGGTTCCTGCGGCAGATAGTCGAGGACGCTGTCTCCTGGCACAGGCCAGTCCCAGTTCAGGAATGTCAGTCTTTGTCCAAGCAGTTTCGCACTTCGGCCTTCTTCCGTGGTCGAGGGCGAGGCATGGTGATCCAACAGCACCTGCCCAGAAGGAAAGTGAAGACGCGTACACTCTGGCAAAGTCTCTGCCACCCTCAGCTCTTAGAACAACTCCTGCTCACGGAGTTGCTGCGCAGGTGCCTGGAAAGTCGGGAAATCACCCGAAGCGGCTGCGAAATGCAAGGCCGATACCTGGACTCCACTCAGTCTAAGCCAATGGTCTGGCTCGTACTCGGGCACCCAGGCGGAACCACGAGAAAAAAGTCTCCAAGCAATTCAGAGCAATCCTGGACAAGCACGGTAGACGCATCCGCATCAGCCCGTCTGGGGAGAAGCAGCGCCACTTTTACAGGAAGCAACAGGAGCGTGAAATGCGCGTGGCTTTCGTTCAACTCGATCAGACTCGATGGTGGAGCCAAGGCCCCCCCACGATGTACCAAACGAATCCAAAGGAAGTTCACACGACGTACCCCAGGTTATTGAAGGTATCAGTTCAGCTGGGACTCGCTCCTACCACTGAACATGTCGTCTCTGTGCATGTGTGTGTGTGTGTTCCTCTGTTACGCGTGCCAACTTCAACACACATTGGGAAATCCAACCTCATCCTGTCTCTCTCCGTTGGCCTAAGCACTCACCAGCGCCTCACATGTACCTAAAGGGGGAGGCTCCGGAAGCTTGCAGTCAAGAGACTCCACGCTCATCAGTGTCGTTGACTCGGGCTTTTGCGTTGATCAAAGTTGTAACAACCTTGAGGCACCCAGTTTTGGCAGCATACATCCTGAGCTGCGCATGCACATGGAGTGGCTGCACTCCACAAAATGCCTCTTCGACAAACCCCTTCTGCCATCCCTCCTCTCAGGCTGATCCGCGGTCTTCAGGAACTTGTCTGCTTCTGCTGATGAGGCGCAACACGGTCAGGCCGCAATTGCGGATTGGCTGTCCCGAGTGATATCTATCCAACGTAATGAGCTTCAGCGGCTGGCGAGAATTCACGTCCTCAGTAAGGGCCACATCACGGCTTTCCAAAGGACGTTAGGAGTCACGCGACTGGACTCATGCACTCCTTCTTACTCTGGTACATCCTGGTGCCGATGCCTTGAGGATACCGACGCCAGCCTAACCATCCCTAACCGTGGCCTGTGTATCGAGTCAATTCGTGATTGGGCTGACCCTCGAGACATTCTGGACAAAAGAGTTCGGACGGGCGGCAGCTCCCATCTTGATTTGTTGGGTGACGACCTGCAAAGCAAATCGGCTTAGTAGCAATTCAGGTACTAGTAGGCCATGGCAGGAAGTTCAGACATGTATACTGCAACTGGAATGCACACACTGCGCAATGCGAGACGGGGCAGAACCGGCCAATCAATGACCTTCTGACTGCCTGTCTACGACGCTGCTTCTTTTGCTTCTGCACGCTTAGTGCCTCTTGTCATAATGCTTTCGAACATGCTGCTGGGCTTTGGAAGGGCCTGGCCCATCTCAAAGGCTGTACCCAGTTGCAGGCTTAACGACAAGTAGTCGACAACGAAGGTGCTTCCCCTCCTCCGAGAGAATCATGGCAGATGCATGGCTAGTGCTATCAGATCAGAAGTCGACGCTCACCATTCAAACCCTAAGATTATCACGAAACTGACAATTGCCCACAGAGTCGTTTCAAGAATGAGTGCTACCAGTACAATTACAACCATGTACCAGCATGTGGCGAAGGACTTCGAAGATTTACGAAACTGCTGGTTGTCAGCAACAGCTGGAAGATGGCTTTCTGGCACCAGCACGCAACATGCCCCTTGCCGCCCAACCGAACTCAGTCGCTTCAATGGCTTCATGCTCAGAATCGCCAGACCGGCCATCGACCATGCTTCCAGCAGTATAAGAAGCGGTTTTCGTGCGCGGCTCTGGCCATCAGGTGCAAGAACCTCCCAAACCCTCAAACCTGCGGCCACACGAGGCACATCCTGCATGAACTACAAGGAATCTCCAAGAAACGATGGCCAAGCTCGACATGCAAGCTGGAGGCTTCGTAAGCTTGTGAAACGTAATATATATATAACAACTAATTTAATATATAACGTCTTCAGATCAACGAGAGCCGGCATCCTCCAAGGCTGCAGTTATCGGTCGCACGAAGTTTTCGGGCTCTCGAGGCCTCCTCGGACTGCTGGGTGCAAATTGTAAGACTCATGCAAAGAGAGGCAGCTGGTATTGACCAGAAGCACTCTGCAACCTTCCAGCCCCAAGAAGGGACCCTCACTTAGAAGTGAGAAAGATGCATTCCGATCCGAATCTTCGAAAGTGAGGTGCAGGCTGCAAAGGGCTTGAAAGGTCTTTCTTCTGAATTATCCAAAACAGACTGGGCTTTGTTGTTACACGTCGAAAGCCGGTGTACAATGAGTCTTTTTCGCCAGGAGACCCGACATCATAATTTCGATGAAGACTGCACGTGGCTTCGACGTCAAAACAGCAAATTGGGCATGTCGAGCCCCCCGGCTTCGACCATTGCACAACCCCGCCGGCTTCGACACCGGGCATCATACATGAGGCAGTGTAAGGAGTAGCCATGGAGAAACCTGAAGCTTCGAATCCGAACCTTTCGAGCTGAGCCCTTTATCCGAACCACAGAACTCCGAACATCCTCGACGCCTCGAGTTGCTTCTCACTGCGCATGGCATCACGTCTCGACTCATGTCGAGGCCTTAGAGGGGGGAGGCCGCGGATTGCCGGAAGAGGATCCCTCCAAGGGCACCGAGGATTTGCCACAGCTTTGGTGCAAAGAAGCTGCCTTGATTCCTGTGTACCCGAAGTTTCGCTTGGCATGCTGCTTTGGCTGCATATCCTGCAGGGACATGGGTCATGAAATCGGCAACTGGCTCAAAATTACCAGTCTTGGTTGGTCTAGCGAATCTCGAGGAAGGCCAAGTCTGTATAAAGAGGGCCCCTCCCCACCCAGCCCAAGCTGCACTTCCCGGTTGACAAGCATGCTCTTTAGCCCGCAATTCGCCAACCGTTGTTTTCCCGGCCCGCCTTTGTCTCGAAGGTGTACAGCTGTGAATAGTAGAGCTGCTTCTTGCCTGGGCATCGACAAGGGAACATGACGAGCGAGAATGCATCCAGATGATGCTGATCAGAAGCGAACGACATGAGCACCATGTGAATATATGCTTCGAAGCTGGGACCTAGGATCGAGCACAAGTACGAGCTACACTTCCATGCTACAATTACCAGCAACATCCCTAGCCGGTCTTCATGCTACGCACGACAAACGGCTCCTAACGGAACCAATTTTTGAACAGACCTCGGAAAGTGCTTTCCCAAATGAATCCGCCGGCGTCTGGTCCGCCGGTGCGACACTGCGGCGAGCTAGGTCCGCACTCAAACCGCGCTTGTCGTCTGGTCGTGTCTCTGGGGTGAGGTGGCGGTTTTTGTTTCGCTCCGGGTGGGCGTGGTTCAGAATTGCCTGTTGGTGCGAAAGTCTGAAGACAGCCAAGTTTGCCAGAATCCTACTACATGTGTACAACTCCGAAGCACCGTTGTAAAAAAAAACTAAATCAGGACGGAGGACGGGAGGCTTGAAACACACTGGCAGGAGCGGGCATCGCCCTGCCCCTGGAAAACGAACTCCTACAGTACGAATCTTGCTCATGTGGTTTGACTGCTACAGCTTTTCACACAGTTCTATGCATCCGTCCATCCATCCATACATCCAGCCATCATTTCATCCATCCATCCATGCATACATGACATCTCAGGCATATAGTAACATTACAGTAAGCACTTGACCTTGCATTTCCTTACCTTACCTTCAACTGCACCATATTGTTGCATTGCGGTGCAGTGTACTATTAACTCGCAACTTTCTGCCTGAATACTAGCTAGCAACAGTCATGAACAGTCTGCATGTAGGGATTCATCCCTGTCCTTTTGACAGAGTACAGTTCTCAACGCGCACCAACTGTTCCCATAGACTTGGAGAATGTCCGAAGCGCCCTCTGGATACAGGAGCAAGGTGCGGCAGAACCGCTTGAAGTGATACGCGAGGGAACTGAGAAGAGATGCGATCTCTTCCATCGCTGCCTCCTTCATCTCCTTCCTGAGCTGAAGACCCCAAAAGGGCGTTGGCACGACTCTCCGCCGCCCATCCACATGAAATGTTCTGAAACATGCGAGTTAACTCTACGTTAGACTCTACATGGTGAAGCCGTAGTTGATGCAGTCGAGACACGTTCGGCAAGACACGGCCACTTGCAGCGCTTCATCCCTCTCTAGGAGCTCACCACTCGGCGCTGGAATCTCCAGGTAGCCGCTCCCCCTCCCACAAACTCGGACATCAGCACCAAGCCTCTTGATTGGGAGCATATTGCAACCACGCTTTCCGATTAGACGTGGCACCAGCTCGAAATCCGAGTGCTTGTCTTGGTCGTATCCGGCGAAGATGACTTTGAAGTCGTAGCAGCGCTTGGCGGAGGCTGAGAGGCAAAGTTTTTCAAGCCCCGGCGGTGAAGGGACCGCATTGATGAAATCCTGCGATGAGAGGCACGCCGTTGACTTGCGATATTGTGCCTCCACCTTAGGATTCGGACTCGGCCGAACCTCGTCGCTCGGCAGCTGTAAGGCCTGCCTCATGTAGCTGGGGAGGCAAAAGAATGGCTCGAACGAGGCCTCGTTATCGCTCTCGTCCCAAAAAAGAGCAGGCTTGGACCCTGAGTCGCAATCAAGGCCCGGTGGGGACTTGCCCAAACTCTGCGGGACGACCCACAGCGGAAGCTGGTAGTCCAAGCTCTCCTTCTCGACGGAGATTTTTGATTTTGCTTGGTAAGGCATGCTCATGGTCATAGGCCCGCCTTGCATTTCCGAGTTCATGCATGCAACACGGTGTGAACGCAAGCCGACCACAGAATGGATATCTTTTCTGACTGACAGATTTAGGGCCATGTGTCCGGACAGGGCACTCATGTTGACAGCCATCTTCTCATGGAACGTCATCGCCATGTGCGGCAACGAATCTTCAGAGTGGCGCAACTGTGAAAGCCCGGGTCTGATGTTCCACCCTACATTCCATGTCTAGCCTGCGCTGGACCAAAATGATGCACAGAAAAACCCTCCGAGATGCATGAGAGACTCGCTGCGAGGCATGCTGCGAGTGCTCACATTGCCCATTGAAATCCCGATCTCGTCGGTGACATCCTTCTACTATACTCTATGAAGCGTCAGTGGATGCAGAGCGATGGCATCGCCAAAGCGACCATGCTCAGGCTTCCTCGAACGACTCCAACAAAAGGTAGCAATGCCGATCGCTTCGAGTTCCAGGTGCGCTGCGTAGTTAAGCTAAGGCTGAGGCCAAGCACAGACAACGGGTGTATTCAAACCGACTAGCCTGCCTCCAAGTTCCCATCCCTGGCTGCTCGGATGAGCTTGCTCTCCGGCGATGGTTCGGCCTGAGAGTCTGAGAGGCACAAGATTCCAGGGCCGTTGGCCGTTCTTCTTTGCAGTTCACTGAAGACTCTGAAGACTCATCAAACACATTCCGGCTTCCGGGTAAACAATGCGGTGCATCACCCTTTCGAAACGCATGCAAGCACAAGCCAGTCATCCTCCATGTGGCCAGGGCCTCTTGAAGTCTTCAATGACCCGAAGCTTCCTAGCCTAATTCACCGTTTCAGCTCAGGCCAGCGCGAGGCTCGGATTGAGGTCCTGTATGCAATCCTTGCAACGGGAAGGTGATCTGACGAAGCGACATGGCTCTGCTTTGAGGACCCTAGGACAGGACGCTAGGAACACGGAGTGCCCCAGAGAGGCGCGAGGGGCCTGGGCAATGGCCTCACAGCGCGGCGGTGCTCGACAGTCAGTTCGGCAATGCACCGCAGCTGTCTGGCCCATGTCTTGTCGTCCGGACCTAGAGTGCGGGGGCACTCAAGGCAGCAGTATCGGCTGACTGGCTGACCAGATCGCACCTGAAATCTGATGGTAAGACTCCGGCTGGGAAAGCACGGAACCACGCTGCAGCAAATCTACCAAATTTAGGTGAGCGTGCCGCAACTCGTGGAAACCATGTTGTGCAGATGTGGTAACATCCGAGCTTTCCCTGCATCCTTAAAATGCTGCGTGACTGTGCTTGTTCTCGCTCCTGCTTGTGCCTCAATGTTTAGTCGACAGGGTCTTGGGCCAAAACCTGCCACGACATGCGCTGCCCGTGGTCCATGAGTCCCAAGCACTGCCGACGAAGCCAGTCTGCACCACCTCTGAGAGCACATGCAAGTGACATTCCGAGGCTAGAGCACCACGGGTGAGCTTCGACGCATCGTCCTGCTGTACACATCGCGAACGAAGTAGCCACCGATGCCGTGTTACGACCGCACTTCAGCAGGTACTTAGAACAGGGCAGCATTGAAACTTAGGCCTAGTTTGTGGGTGCTGGCTAAGAGATGGCACGGAGTCGGAGACAAGGAGTCACGTAATGGCTGAACAAACACATCACCATGACCTCCAAGCGCTGGAAGCTCTTCTCAGCCACTTTCCTTGGTGCCGATATCTCTAGGGCTCCAGCATTGCAATCAGAGGAATTTCCTGAAGCTACCGTGAGCAATTGCTCACTTCAGTTTTCCAAACAAGCCTTTGCAATTGCACGTTGCCTAGAACCTGACCTTTTCTCTTGGCGCTGAACGGTGGACTGCGACTTCACTAAATGAGACGTGCACTGCTTCGCAGCACAGCTCGTTCTGAGGTTGTGAATCTCGTGGGCCCAATGCCTTGACGAGTCCAGAATCGACGGCATACTGCATGAAAGGTCATGGATTCACATTTTGCAGGATCCAATGCTTCGGGCCTTCGTGCTTAGACTCAGCTAGACTGAGCTACAGAGAATAATGCACTGGCCGTTTGAAAGCAAAACACGTGTCTGCGCACCTCTGCTGGCTTAAACGGCTACAACTCTTCGGAAACTAGGGGTGAAACTTTGGTACTTCCGGCGGTGTGAGCTTGGGCGGACTTGAGATATCGAACAACATCCCTACACCGCTCCTCCAGCGTCTCGATCTCATTTAGCCTGTGCTGAAAACTCTCGCAGAGAGTTACCAGCTCCCTCGGCTCCTTCAGGCTATCTGTGCTCGTTGGTCTCTCCATTTTCTTCGGCCTGGCCTTTCCTGGAAGTTTCTCTGAAGCCTGCGACTCTGCAAGACCCAAGATCTGCTCATCACGCTGCTCCAGGAGGGCTTCTAACACCAGCTCTTCGGCTCTGGCAATCAGTGGCCGAAGTTGTTGGTGGATGGATCCCAAGGGCTCCACAGGGCCCGTCGGAGTCCCTTCTGCTTTCACGTGCCTGGAACGCCAGAATTCCAGCGTCCATGGCTCCTCGGGTTGTGGTGGCACAGTCGGGGGCGTTGGCATGCTCGGCGCCGGATTTTGCATCTTTGCGACGGCTGGCATCATTACTTCCAGAAGCCGAGTTTGATGATCCAGCATATCCGTCTGGCGCCGAAGCGCATCTACCACGTCGCTGTTTATCACCTTCCGGAGTTCCATGACAGAGTACCTTACCACTTCGGCAGAAGCATGCTTCTGGGCCCGGCGTACCAGTACTGGCATAAACATCAACACAGGAAGGAAACATACTTTGATGTTACGTTTGGCAGCCTCAGATGAAATGCCAAAGCACTTGATCAGGGACTGCATGATCGTAGGGTCACGCTCGAAGAAACCAGAGAGGTGCTGACAAAACTCAAAGTATGACACCTCTCCAGAGAGATCGGAATCCAGCACATGGAAAATCGTCTCCATATCCTCCCGCCGTATATCCATAATCTGCATAAGCCTGCTGAATGCTTCGATGTTGTCGTAACCCTTCAGCATCTCGTCCAGCGATAGGGATCCGCTTCCATCCGCATCCATGTCGTCACCTTCAGTGAACCCCATTACTTCGTTTTAACACACATGGATTGCTGATGTTTGATGTGAAGTTTGCACGAAACACCTCCAATGTTTACGCAAGTTGGAACCTGAAAGAATGACTGACGTAAGCGTCCAGTCGCAGAGCATCGCAAACTCAATCATATTTTTCGATCGCTCCTGGTCCTTTTTCTTGAGCTTCCTGTCCTGGTCGTTCTCCCGGGCTTCTGTGGCACGCTCCACAATCACCTTAATTGCTTCAAGGGGCCCTTTTTCAGCTCCTAGACTGTCCTAGACTCCAACAAAATCCGCAACAGACCCTGGATTTCCGTGTACATCCCAGCTGAGGCCCTTCCCATATGCTCCTTCGGGACTACTGGAATGGGGCCCAAGAAAACAAATGGCTCGAGAAATCTGCCTGGGCGCCGCCAGTATGAGGTTCATCACCCCCAGCGAGATCGAAACCATAATCGGGAAGAGGACGAAAGAAGTCTCTGGATGCTCTTCGAGCAGAGGAATAGAGATCCTGGAAAAACAAGATCAAGGGCGATCAGGTAGACGTGACCGGGATGACTATTCAACTGCAGGTCTTGGTCAGTCACCTCTCTCGCGAGCTGCCTTTCACTGCCATCTAGGTCTCAAACAGTGTGCACATAAGGCTGACTAATGACTGAATCTGCAGTGCGTCCAAGGGTCTCACCCCACGAATCTCCGGCCACAACCTGCTGAAACAATGTCAGACCTCATCGGGACAACATCTTGAGGGGAGAATATCCTTCGTCTCCCTTCGTATTCTAGATTCTAGTCACAGTCATGTTATCGCATTCGGCCATGGCTTTAGTAGCCTCTGTGGTGTTTGAGATGGAGGCAGTCTCATGGGGCACACATCTTTCGGTGGTGAACCCGAACTCTCGCCCTGGGCCTGCAGAATAGACACTGCGGAACCGGAGTTGGCACTCACGGCCCTGGCAGAATTCACTGGCGAAGGTCAGTTTCGCCGTCACGGGATGTAGGACTTCCACTGCAATGATGGCCCAGACAACAATCGTTGACAGCAGCATGAAGGATCCAAAGATAATGGCCTTGAAAGAAGAGTAAAGCCCGGAGACCAGCAAATAGAACTCTGGGATCGAAATAAAGACTCGGGCAGCCCTCAGGACGCGCACGAGGCGCGAAAGCCTTAACAGATTCGGGTTGATGATGTTCTGCAGAAGCAGGCTCATCCATCCGAGGAGAACTGTCACCAGGTCTATGACATTCCAGACATTGCAAAGAAAACGCTCTCGTTCGGCAAATGCCCGGGCACAACTCTCGATAGAGTAAAGCACCAGGAGCACGTAGTTGCCAACCCCGAGCAGTGGCAGCAACTCGCCACGAAAAGGGCACTCGTCCCAATTGTCTGTGTACTCTGGATGGCACTGCGCATCTTGATTGGCCTGGTGCTGGCGAGAAGGAGACTTTATAGGCCAATTTTGCACTAGTGCATGATGCAAGGACTTCAAGAAGTGCACATCACATCCATGCCATGCCCTTAAATCTTCTATACTTTACCTGGCCTCGTATATGATAAGGCAGATGTTGAAGATGATAATCAAGCCCATGAAGGTCTCAAAGTATTGCGAAAACACGGTCTGCGCTACCTTCACCTTGGATGGGCGATGCTTCGGAGGTTAGAACACTCACTATCTCCGACAGAAAGCCAGGCCACACGAAGATTGCTCCAGATCTGGTTGCCATCGTCGTCCATCCAAGGCTTCTTCGTGTAAGCACGAGTATACCGGCCTTAAACACCAGGTTTAGGAGGAGTTCCAGTACGCTTTGTGTATCAGCTCGCCACCGGTCGAAGAAGACCGTGCTGTTGGCTGCACGGCAACGGGCCAGTGAACGTCTAGCATGCTGACAAGGCACGACTTTTGATGGCTTCCAGTGCATTCTTCAAGTGGTCTGTCTGGGTGAGGGTTAGATGTGATAAGAGCCGCGCTGGGTTTTTAGAGACGGAGAGCGAGGCCTGAGATCAAACTGTGGAGATTGACATCTTGCTGAAGTTCAACGGCAAACACTGAATGTCAAGTTTTGGGGTACAATGATTATACTACAAGTTGCCTTAAGGAGCCCGAAGTTCAAAGACTCGCGTTGGTACTTATTCCGGCCCCTATTTGGCAGCTCTCGCGACAGCACACCTGCAGAGGCTAAGACCGCCAAGGTAGAGCAGCCGAAAGCTGCCGAAACAAGCCATGTGGCACTGTCGCCGATCTGGCCGTCGTCTCTGGCTCTATAGCGCATAGCAGTCATGGCTGCCCCACAAAAGCAGCAGAAGCTACGATAAGCACAATGAAGCTGCGGTAGGCAAACCTTCAACATCGACAGTTTCCAAGACAATGTAAGGCGTCTCAACGCCTCGGAAGATGCAACCAAGGATCTGGTCAAGCTCATCGTAGATTGCGTCAAACTCCTCTGGCAGCAACTCTTTCAAACCGCGACTGGGAGACGGTTTGTGAACCCCGGATGCTAATGCCTCCGGCTAATCCAAGTTGACAAGAATTTACGGGTGGAAGCTGCAGAGCCTGCTGTTCGAAGCAGGTAGAGCTTACGGCTGGAAAGCCAGATGGTTACGTGCAACAGTCCAACTGACATGCTCAATGGTCACTCACATCGTGGCAGCTTCGCTTCTCTGGCCTGCTTCTGTCGCTGGCCATCTTCTGCCTTTTGTCCTGACTGCTGCTGCTTAGCTACTTTTTCGTGAAAGTTAACACATGGGTATTGCATCAAGGCATCTGCTGCTAAGTGAGGGCAGAGATTGTTTCGGATGACCTACACTGCCTGCATGCGCTTCATGCAGGATGCCTTCAAGCCTGAAGCCTTACGGAGGCCGACGATCTTCGAACTCCAGCTCTCCAGCCAGCAACTACATCGGAATCAGAGGATGGCCGGCGCGAGAGCCCAAGAAGCTGGGCCGGAGTGCTCCAAAACAAGCTTGTGGATTTATCCGAGCCCGCAGCGTTCGAGCTTTCTCAAGTCGTCGCTGTTCTTGGCAATATCCACATCGTGTGCTGCACTTTTGACCTAAGTCTTAAGTCAAGGCTGCAGATGTGTGAGGCATATCTAGAGTAGGCAGGGGGGCGCTGCATGATGTCACACTGAAAGATCGTTTGTCTGTCACTATTGAGGCTTTTGGGAGTCTGTGGTTCCTTTCGACTCGAGTTTCCGACCTCCTGCACCAGGAAATCTCGGGCCGCATTCAATTTGCTAGTTGCCTTGGGGGACTTCGGGGCTCAGGCCGTTAGACTGTTGACCTCGTCCCGGATCTTGTTGATGTCACGCTTAGACCTGGGGCAGTCGCTCGCTTTGCTCCTGATGTTTCAAACATTGGAGCACTTTATCCGGAAAGCCCAGGCGGCCGGCTCACCACTGGCACCTTGTAGCGCCGCCATGCGAAGGTCCAGTGCGTTGAGATGCTTTCCGCTTTCCTCTTCTCAGGATTCGGAAACGACTTGCGAGGAATGATGCGGAATGTAACCTACTGACTCATTGGCTGAAGGATGCTGAGGGAGGTATCCATGCCGTCAGCCTTGCTATGCATCAGCTGGTGCTTCTTTGGTGTGCTGTTTTGTAGACACAGAGGTGCTTCACTGCAAAGCTCCTTCGCGATCGTCGACTGATGCCTCTCCATACCATCCATCCGATCATGCGCAGACTTCTGGAGCTCCTCGCCCTGTCACGGTTTTGCGCTTGCCGTGACAGCATTATCTAAAGGGGTGACTTTTGGGGCTTTAGGGTTTAGGGTGTGCGTAAAATAATACCCCCTCCTTATCTAAATAATGGTATCCAGCATCACCATACTGTTGATGGACAAAATTCTGCACGACCCAAGTAAAGTATAGTACCATGAATCCCATAGTTTAGGTATATCAGGTCATGCAGGATTTTGTCCATCAGTCGTACCACCAAACGCGATTTCTACGACCCTGTTAGGAAGAAGGGTGGTCAAGTCGATTCAGCATGTTGGTCCTGCGTGTGTGTCTGATGGTGGTTCGTGACCTGCCTTTTGGATTTTTGGTGCCTGCCAACCTTCCCAAGATCAAGCCTGCTTCTTCATGGAGGACTCGAGGAAGCCCAAGCGCGTGTCAAGCTCGTCCCGTTGACCATTGATCTGGCAACGAGTGGGTCCATCTCTGGCTGTACATGTGAACTGCAGCGGAAACTTTAGCCCTGATCACCTCATGGGAAACACAAGTTGGCACCTGCCCCTGTATGAGGTTGTGCGTCTCGGCATGACGTCCCAGCGTCGCCTGGAAAGGCTTGAGTTCCAGCTCGAGCTACTAGAGCTGGAACAGGCCAGCATCCGATGCCCTTCCGTGCTGCTTTCCATGCTATGGCCTCCAGCTCTCGTCGGTGCTGCGCACCTTCCTCCAGCCGACCAGATACGGCCGCGTGCTTTTCATCGGCTTGGCCTCGGGGTCACATGAAGAGAACCGACGTCGAATGCACAAATCCGAGCCTCCACGGGGTGTGACAAAGGTCCAAAATCTGTTGAGGACATAAGTTTCGTGAATGCTGCTCACAAGCCCAAGCTGCGTTGAATGTCACCAGTCTTGGCCATGACCTGGCAATACAATCAGCTTTTTCCAGCAAAGCCCTCCGCATCGTTCCCGTTACCGCACCACATCGCCTGAAACTACTGACTTGGAGGGAGAGCCAAGAAAGTACTTCATGGAGCTGTCTAGCCGACTAGTTGCTGCATCATTTCTCTTTCATCAACACGACTTACGTCATTACTCGACTGACCAAACGAGTGACTGATCGATCAGTGCTCGAATCAGAAAGATGCATGTATGCACACAAGGGCAGTCCGCAAAGAGAAGATCACTCGCTCATGAATCAGCGGCCGGCACCCTCTCATCCATCGATGTCATCTCGGACCGCAGACGCGCAAGTTCCTGCTGCCAGGTGCAATCCAGCCAAAAGCCGGGCCGGTGTCAAGAACGACCGAGAGAGGGAGAGTGAGAAATGTTGCTCATTCCTGCGAGCAGCTAGTCCGGTAGTAGTCTCGGTGCCGCACTCAAGCCCGTCAAAAGTTCTGGCTCACTGCATTTCCACCACTCCTCGTCGACTCTGCGCCGTCTGTTATCTACCTGCATGCACCGGAGAGAAATCGAAAGGGACGGAGGCATCCACAATGACGGCGTTGTTCCGCAAAGTGCAAGGACAAGCCCTAGCCCTACCGGTACGCCTCGAAGCGCAGTGAAGAGGCCATGTCTCTGACCTGACCCAACACGGATGCAGTGCCATTCAGCTCTTTAGTCCCAACTCATCCTGACCATTGTGGCAGCTGGGCCAGGCACGGTTCTGATGGAAGCATCAATGTCGTCGTTCCTGATATGCTGTGTGCACGCCGAAGAGCAGGCGCTACCAGCCGCTAACCCAATCAGTTCCACCACCATCCACCACCACGATAGCCGCAGCCCGTTTCTCGCTGGGGTGCAAAATGCAACCGCAAAGGCTCGGCGACTGTGCACTGCAAAAAAGAATTTGAGCTGGGCAACTCAAAAGGACTGATTCCTCGAATCTCACAAGGCATTGCCCACAATGTCATGCTCTATCATAATTTAAAGAATATCTCATACCATCGGCAAGTAAACCTGGGCGTCGCCCATCAGCGTGGGGTTGGCTGGGTGATCTGGAAAGAAGCGGGCCGTGTCCGTTCTTCGCAGAAGCGTCCCCGCACAAACTGGAAAAGCGCTTACTGTTTACTGACATTCGCCGAACAAGGTCCCAGGTAATGACCCTTAATTAGGCCCTTCGCCTAATTTCCTATGTACGTGCGGACGCAGAAACAGGTAGTGACCAGCCAGAACTTGCGTGCACAAGAAGCCTATTCACTGCCATGCGTCATATCGTTCCAGCTGACGATGTCCGTCTTGGCATCCAGCTTCACCTTCACTGCATGCACCACACATACCAAAGCCCTTATTGAGTCAGAGACAGTGTCCAGGCTGTCAGTCTCTCATATGGACAACGATCAAAGATGACCAAAGCATGGAAATAACGATCAGTCGGTGGAAGCTCGTGTCAGCTCGAGCGGCCTGCCTGCATCTGCTGATTTACATCGTTTATGTCGAGACCAATCTGCTGGCAGCGCTCGTGTGCCTGCCATTGTACGGTACAAATGTTACAGTAGATTTCATTCCAAACGAAGCAGGTCAGACAGCTCGGAGCAAGCGTTTCCAAACACTTCTTGAATGCAACCAAACCCCGTGGCTCAGCTTTCCCATCCCGATCCAAGCCCCTGTGTCGTCATGGGTCAATCGAAAACCGATTCTTTCCTGGCGGCCTCCTGTAGACTTTGTGAGACGTCCTCCATCCAAGCGTCGTGCGCTTTCAATGCCTCGTCGAAGAAGTGCGAACCAGCTATCAACCAGTAACTTCGCAGCACTGGAACAACTGCAAAGCTCGATTCCATGGGGCCGTCCTCCTGCATGTCCCCCATGTCCAAGCGCATGGTCGAGATCTCAGCTGTGACTGTAGCCTGCAAGACAACCCCGCGCTGCACACATCCAGTGTGTGGCCGGCAAAGGTGGTAGCCTACCCAAGGTGCACGACCGTGTAGCTTAGCTATCGTGCTGCCGTCCTCCACCCGCTGACGAGAGGTGATGATGGAGTGGGTAGAGTCGACCTCAAGACGGCATTTGTCAGTGCCGGTATCTTTGCCGCAACAGCCACATCAAGCCTAGGGCCTAGGGCCTAGACTTGAGTATAGATCTGCCTCTCGGTCTTGCTTTGCTTTGCTGATCTGTGCTCGGGGGCACGGGCAGGTATGTGCCCCTCTCGCTCTCTCCCTCACCTTCCACCTCCCTGCCGTTGCATCCAAAGGGTCATTCCGCAAGGCTTAACGTCTGTTCGAGTCCTGTCCATGCAGAACCCCTGCGTGTAGAAAGGACAGCGTTTGTGGCAAAGCGGCTCTGGCACGCATCTCATCTAAGTCGACGTTCACAGCGTCCATCGCAGCTGTAAAATCCTCAAGCCATGAGAAATGAAAGCTGAACACAACCGCACTGTCTAACTGACAAGTAATGCTCTTGGTCCCGTCCTCCATGTCTCTCTCGCAAGCGAGAACTATTCGTTTCACATGGTCAGTGTCGTGCTTGGCTCCATTTAGCAGGTCCTGCGATGCCCACGTGCGCATGTCCCAAAAATGTGGACGGGCTCGAGGACATCATTCAATCGTAGTCGCTGCTAAGTGCGGCCTTCAACTCGCCAACATCATACTTCACGGCCTGGGCAGTCTACTGGCCAGTCGGTCAGTGTTGCTCTTCGAAGGCCAGACTGAATAAGAGATGCGACTCACTAAGATATTCTGCGTTCCCGGCATCAACATCGCGGGCGAGGCTTTCCACGCCCGGGACCTCCTCGCCCCCAGGTCTGGCACCAGGGCAGTCGATCATGGCTTCCCCTTCGAGTACCATGCAGATGTTCGTCGTTTCCATGGGTTTGTGCAAACCGCAGACCGCAGGTGGTTCGATTCCACAAGCTCGTATGAGGATTCGCGCCACGCCGTCCCTCTTCAGGACCAGCAGCAGTGGCAGCAATGACTTAGTCATGCCTGCAAACCTTGCCGTCGTACGTTTGCATGCGAGCGCCATGTCAGGAGTGCAGCCTGCGGTGTTCCATCTACGGTCCAGACAGTGACGGGTTGGTTGCAAAGGATCCAGTTGCCCTTGCAAAGTAAAAGCGTTACGTTGACTTTACCTCCTTTGCCTCTCCCGCCGCAAAACCTTCTGAAAGGTCTGCCCGAAAAGCTTGTGGGACACGTGTCGGAAAGCGTGGTGAGCCATGGAAGCCTGGAACCTGCAAACCTGCGCTTGCTGGAGCCACGGAGCGCTTGAGATCTCCCATCACTTCGCAATGGACGTCGGGCTTTCAGTCGCCACCAGTTCTCTCAAGTTCTCTCGCTGACCTATCCTTGCCCAGGAGCTAATGATGATCATTACTGTATTTATATGGGAGAATAAACGAGAATTTGACATAACAATATACTATGATGATGGCAGCGAGTATGTCGTCCTTCCTTCATGTGCAAGAAGGGGCATCCTGGCCTGCGGGAGCCCATAAAGGACACCTTCTTGTCCACGTCTTGCGTCAAGGTCTGCAATGGGAGGTTCGGACTTCAGTGTTTCTGCAGGTTTGTCGTGCCTCCTACCTACAATAGCAGGAGGATCTTGCACTACCAAAACTTTTTGCCTCAGGATTTTCTGCTTCCGTTCTAGCTAGGACGTCGGGTTTCGACTCGCACACTGCACAAAACAGGCACGAGGGTTTAGGGCTTAGGGTTATCATATACAGTCTCGGACTCCATGGCAAGACGACGGAACAGTCTTAATTACATAATCACAGCTGGGCGCTTTCTGTGAAAGAAACTGGCCTGGATCTGCGAAGCGACCTGCGACTCGAAGTCCGAAATCCTTCGCGTTGCTTTCAAAGAGGCAGGCTCCCGCAAGTGTTCTTCATTGTTGTGGCAGTACTCTCGGAAACGCAGGACATGTTGCCTGCTCTGCAATGATGAGTCTGGGATCTCACATGTCGAGGGCGCTCCATGGAAATCTTGCTGGGTCCTGTTGGTCAGCTTCTTCAGCAATTGGCTCTCCGATGCCTGGCGAGAGTTGATTTGCTCGGCATCTGGGAGTTAAGCATCGACAAGGTAAGTTAGGATACACGTGCATGCGCAGTGATTCCCGGTCTTCGACATACAACACACAGCGTCTGATCCAGGCATGCAGTCAAAGGTAGGAGAGCTACTGGGCCAAGCTCAGACACCCATGCGCTTTGTGGTGCATCTACAGCACTTAACAGCAGCATGTGCAACAACGCTTTGCAGTTTTGTCTGCGCCAGCTTGGTGCGAGGTCTTCCGGACCAACTTTGTTGGAACTCTGGGCGACCACGATCCATCTAGATGGCACGGACTGGTTTCGTCCATGCGTTTGTCTGCCGACAGGGAGCAGCTCTGCAACAGCTTGCCAGCAACTCTACGTCCCAAACCTTTCAAGCTTTGCTGTCGTGTGCCAACAACCTATGGCACATCTTGACCACTGACAAGGGAGGAGTGGCGAGTCACGCTGTCTCTTGTATCGCCGGTGCATCACGAAGCTCCCGTGACGCAGGCCTGGTCATTTGTTATGCGGTGCTGCTTCATAAGCCCCATAGCTAGACAAAGTGATTTGCCGACTGGTTATGAATCAATACTAAAATAGCTAAGGCGACAGACAGGACCATGTCAATGTAATCTATCTCTTCTGGCAAGCGGCGCCCTCGCCGCTTCGGCACGCGCCAAAGCCCACTCGGTCCTCTCCTGTGCCTCGGCCTGACACTGGGCCAGCAGTCGCTGAGCCTGTGCCGTCTGCGCAGCACTCTGGGCACGTGCCGCCTCAGCTTGACCAATCGGCTCAACTGGGATATACGGGTTCCTACAACACAAATGGCAGCTTGAACATCTTTCTGCTGCAGCCAGCCACGTGAGTTTTGTCGTCAGCCTCTGCTTGCGACTTTTTGGCGATGCCTCGGACGCGATGTTGCATGCAGCGACCCGACAAGGACGACACATGAAGCACCCGCACAGACAGCGCTTGTACGTTCGATCACTGATCTATTGCATTGGTGGAACTCATTGGATGCTACATTCTCGAGTGCATGCCAACCTTACAGGAGTGTCACCTGGTATCTCTGAAGCTTTTTCGAACACATTGTTCCGAATGGTTCACCATCGTTCGATGCGGCCGAGGCCGAGGGTTTCTATCGGTTCAAGCACGAGGTGCGCTCTGCACGATGCTGTGCACCAGCTGTCAGCCGCTGACACTCTGCCACTGCGTGGCTGGCCTCTGCCTTCGCTCAGTCTGGGCACATGAAGGCTGTACTTGAGATGTGCAGCTGCATGAGTAAAGTAGCATCATCTCTGAATCTAGAGACAGGGGAAAGGCTTGTGCACGAGCTCGATTGGTGGTGCCTTCGCACGGTCGACAGCTTCTTGCATCGCCCGGCAGCGCCGATCTGAATCCTGTTGGAGACGCTCCATTCGCTCTGCCATGTCCTGCAAGGCCACCTCAACGGGATCGACAGCTTCTGCTGCGCTTGTTGACTTGAGAGTACATCTGGCAGCAAGGATGTTCTCGAATGTTGTCAACCCGGGCTGCATCCGGGCCTCTTTTGCCTGACGCTCGCAAGCTATCATCTCCTCGGCACGGTGGCGCTCGGCCTGGACCATCTTGCTAGATGGGAACAGAAGCTGAAAGTCAAGCTGTAGTATGGGCAATTCATTCCAAACCCTACAGCGAGATAAATGCAAGAATGTCTTGTCGGACGACGAGGTTGCTTGCAAAGATCTCCAAAGCATCAGTGGTCAAACTCTCACAGTGGCCGACCTGCTGAACTCAGGAAGCCACTGCAGTCAAACAGATCAGTTTCACACCGTTCAGATGTCGCCGGATGCTTAGCGGCTTAGCATTCCAAGCCTCGGCTTGGCGCCGCGCAGCATCGGCGCGCGCCTCTCCATCCCCCACGTGAAGAGTATATGTAGAGCCGGCCACTCTTGGCTCGAGTCTCTCTCGAAGCATTGCAGGATCTGTCAGTACCTACTACATGTCAATATCAATAACCTCCATGCTGTGTCCGCTTGGCTTGCGGCTTGCAGGTTCCCGTCCTAGGTTCCCCGACTCTGACATCAAGCTGGGATTGCCTCGGCAGCGCGTGCCTCTGCACAGGCTTCCTGCTCGCGCCTGGTGACCAAAGTCTCACGAGACTGAACAGCAGCTTTCTGGCAATGGGCTCAGACGAGGCTTCACTAAAGCCTGCACTCCTGGGCCATGAAAACCGCAGCACATCAGGCCCTGCGTCAGCTATTCGACTCTCACAGCTTGGACAATCCGGAGGAGTCTGAGTTCTAGCTTGCAGCCCTACCACCTGAGGTAGGAAAGGAACTACGGGTCAGAAAGAAAACGATCTCGGAAAAGGAAGAATACTGCGCAGTAAACGGCTCCCTCAGGCTTGTGGGGCGCCTTGTTCAGCCACTTATCCCCACTACAGGAGTTTCCCAGCTGTCATGCGGAACTTCGCCTTGTTCACGAAAAAAGCTCGGGCACGCCCCAACCCTGACCGTGACGTAGACCTTAAAGCCCTTAGACCCGTAATCCCCAAAATATCCGGAGAACCCCACCCCAACCCCCTGCACAGCTGGTGCCGGTTCTTGTCCCACGTGCCTCTCAGCTTCGTCCACCTGTAGCCTTGCCTGGGCCAGCCTAGGACCAGAGAGGCTTCGAACGCACCACTGTGGCATGTGTGTAACAGTATAAGAGTATCGTCAACAACACAAGGATTCGCAATGAAGTTCAACGTGAAGCCACCGTGACGGCTCATCAAAGCCGCCAAGAAGCGCTCGCTCCGTCTGCACGCGCAGCTCGATCTCCGCCACATTGGCCTCCAAAATCTCCGAAAGAGTGACAAGGCAAGCTGAACCTTGAATCCAAGAACCCCACAAGAAGGCAAAGATGGGATGCTCGCCTGTCAGTTGTTCCTCTTTGAAAACCCTACTTAAAGCCCGTTGCCCGCGCCTTTGCCTGGATCTGCCTGAGCTGAGCCTCCGCCTCTCTCTGAGCCAGGGCCAGCCGGGCCTCCGCAAGCGGTTCTTTGTTTCCCTCTCGCATAGCTGAGAACGATCCAAGCGGTTCTTTGGGTTTGGGGTTTTCGTCTGCGGGGCGAAGCACTTGTCACCACAGTAGGTCGCCTCAAATCGGCGCTCCGCCTCCTCCAGCAGCAGCGACATAGGGATCCTGCAAAAAGGTGTCTCTGACTGCAAAAACTTGAGACCCGGAATTTGCATTGCCATGAAGAGAAGCAGCCATTGAGCACTCATTAATACATGCAAAGGTGAGTATGTTATTAGCACGCAGGCACGTACATAAGAAGTATCCTAGGCATGAGGCAGGGATTATAGATTTTTGAATGATGGCTGTTGCAACCAGCCTCTCTGCTTCCACGTGGGTGTGGTATTTATATTATGTGTGCATGTAACAAGTACGTATGTATGTATATATGTATGTATGTATGCATGTATACGTATGTATGTATGTATGTATGTGGGTGTGTGCGTGCGTGTGTGTGTGTGTGTCTGTGTGTGTGTGTGTGTTTTGCGACCTTTGGCCGTGCATGTGGCTGCATCAAAACCGCTGGAGTCGTTCTTGGAACGCAGGGGAGGCGAAAGCAACTGCGTCGTGCG